AAAGAGTGACCTTAAAAGAGTTACTGTTTGAATCGGAGCAATGGCTAAAACAACCAGCGAACAACACCTGTGCACAAAAGAATCACAGAAAGAGATTATTATGAATATAACAGACACTATTCAACAATACTGATCAATTTCATTAATTTATGAAAATTAATTTCATGCATGTGTGTTTTTGTGTGTGTACCTTGGTGTTTATGTGAACATATTTTCAAGTAATTTTATAAACAGCAGTGTAACAGATGACATTTTATGAGATATAACATTTGCAGAGGATACGGTCTAATATGTTAATAATCTAATCCATCCGGTCTTCTGTAAAGATGGTTGTTGACTGACTGACTTATTTTGTGGTAGTGATTCCGATTTAATTTGATCTTCATTATTCCTTTCCTCCCGTTTCAATCCCTTTGCCCCTGAGTTTCCAAGCATACTTCCCCCTCATCACCTGTGAGCCCATTGTAGCAATTAAGGCCATCTTGCACAGTAGCACGTGCTGGAGGAGTGACAAGAGAGTCAGGAATAGACGGGGAAACGGAGGAATTGAAATGCAGTAGGAAAAAGGGCGGCATACAGATAGTAAGGATAAGACAAGGAAAATGAATATGAACATAAACAGGTCCCCCACCTCGCTTTCTTTTACTTCAATCTCATATATAAATGTGATGCTTCCTCTCCCTGTACAAAACCCCAAAGGCAATTTAAAGAAAGTAGGCCAAAATGAAATATGGCTGCAATATAAAAACAACACTTCAGACACACAGCAGCCTGATAAGACCCCTTTGTGAGTGTATGAGTGAAAATGAGTCTGTGTGTGTGTTTGTTTCTGAGAGCACGAGCAAGTGAGAAGTCAAAGGAAGTTGTGGAAAAACGGCACATTAAAATGTGTCGCAAAGAAGTTGAGTGGTTTTTATTAGGATTGAATCAAAAGTAGGATTTCAAATGACATCTTAAAAAGGTTGCATGATCCATCATACTGCTTCTTCTTTCTCTCCCACTCATCCACATGCCCCCCCCACACACACACACGCACAGACAACACTTGTCCACTTGCTACCCTGCAGTCATGCTGCACTAACATTTCTCTAACCTTTTAGCCACCAGCACACTGCAGCATAAACAGGGTAAATCCCGAGTAATCTGTTTGTGACATGCATGAGGACCATGTTGACTTACTCTGAAGAGTGAAGCCTGACCCAAATATGGAAGTGGGCATAAGCCAAGAATGTGACCCATTATTTAGTAATATGATGTCATGCATGATTGCATGGAGACAAAAACAGAAGTTAGTCTTTTGGACATTGCAGCCTCAAGTGGCAGTGGGTGTTTCCTGTTTCATGTCTTAAAGACTTATATACCCGGAATTATACACAGGGACATCAGTATAGTGGACAGTCATCTGACCTAAATACCCTTTTTTATGTGGCTGGTAGGGATTTTTTTTAAATGAGCATCAGGTTCAAATCCAGCTTAAAGTACAAAGTGTGCACTCTGTCCTGCCCAGCGAGGGGAAAGCATATCTTGACCTTACGTATCAAACAAAATATACGACGAGTTAACGCATATAACTAAGAAAACTTAAGAAAAAAAAAGATTGCCAGTCAATGGGACAGTGTCTGACCTTTCGGGGGGTTGTTGGCAGATAGTGAACCTAATATTTATTAGAATTATTAATAAGGTGTTGATGTATAAGCCCATTGCTGCGTAGGATTACAGGTCGTTTTTGGGTTGTATCACATGCGCGAGTTGCCCTGGTCTGTTTTTCTGTCCCAGGACGATTTCTGGAAACTAGTTTGATATCAGACAATACACACGCAGCGTTAAATCGATCCATCAACTTGTTTATTTTATACATACGTTTTTGCTGCCCAAAACATGGATTTTATAGTCCTCCAGGTCTTCACTGAGTTAGTTTGCGGAGTGCAATTAGTGCATTCACATTTATTTAGAGATATGAGGGAGGGTGTGATGGCACTGACAAGAAAATCAAAAATTGAAGAACTATGTCAACATTGTTGTTTGAATACATGCTTCACCCGGTACTGAATTCAATGTGGAACATTCTTCAATCTTTAGAATTTAGTGTAAAAGAAACACGTAGCATCAATTCAACTTTTTATCTATGACTTTGCTTTTTTTGGAGCATTTTTAGATATAAAAATAGTCTACATTGCACAAGAAAAATGTTTAAGTATCTCAAAATCTCCAGCTTCAAATTATCACATGCACACACACACACACATACATGCACACCCACATTCAAATTAAATATAAAAGGCACACGGAGCATGACATAAACCAATATCCCCCTGTGACACCATGATTGGATATTTACCACCATATTCCAATTATTACACACAAGTATTAAATTTATTTTTTTCTCACTTTTTTATTCTTCACTGCTTATCCGTGGCTTCATAACAGCAGATTGGCATTAAAAGGGCACGGGTGAAATTAACTTGTCTGTATGTGTGTGCGTGCATGTGCGTGCGTGCGTGCGTGCGTGCGTGTGTGTGTGTGTGTGTGTGTGTGTTCGGTGTTACATTCCAGTCCCAGGCCTGTTTTGATGGTGTTGGAATTAGTGAGAGAATTGTCTCAAAGGCTCCAATCAAATGCCTTTCATTTCTCACTTTAACCGCCTAATCCCTGATGGTGTGTGGTTATGGTGCTGTCTCCTTTCTCAAACAAAAGTGTTTTCTGCCTCTCTCTTTCTTTCTTGTCTCTCTCCCCACTTCTGTCACTTGTGCATGTACACAACTCTCCAGCTTAGCTGTACATGTCTTTAAGGAGCCAGACCTCCCACCGCTCCACATCTATTGCGTTGATGTCCGCTCTTGCAGCTCAGCGGTATGTTGATGGAGAACCAGGCGGCGAGAGAGCGAGCGTGTTAAAAAATAAAAAATAAACAGCAAAGGGCATAGGGTTAAATGTTTGTCTGTGGTTTGAAATGATTGTTCTACTTCTATTTCCCTCTGTTTGTGAAAAGTCCCAGTTTATTTATCCTTCACACTGGTTATTTAACGAGAACATTTTATCAAACTGGTCATTGTTCTCTGGGTTCTTATGGTGTACAAGTTGTTACACCTCTATCGATGTGTAACTTTTCATTCCTGCTGCCCACACTGGGCTATCACTTAGATGTGGTTTTATAGTATCTCCATGATTTTTAGGGCTTGATGCTAGTGGCGGTCGGCCAATAGAGGGCAAACTTTCACTAAACCGCATTTGAGGGTAACAAAAATGAGATTGTGCAAAGTTTTATTTACTGTTTTCATGTTGGAATACATATTAAATATTCAACTTTAAAGTAGTAATGTGTTTTTGCCTTGAAAATATTATTTCACTTCTATTGTGTATTAAATGTTTTGCATAAAATGAACCTGGGATGTTTGCTGAAATTGATTGGATTGCCCAACCTACAACATTTTCCACATGTCATATTGATCTATTTCTTCACCGGTAACATATAAACTGATTTTTACACATCAGAAGGTCGACTTAGTGGGGAATGTCCAGATAGACAAAGTAGTTCTAGTGGAAATACTCTTTTTATCATGGGTGCGGCATTTTTGGAGCAGAGGCAAAAAAAAAACAGGTTAGGAAGTATTAGGGCACCTAGAGCGTAGGTGTGTAGAGCGTGTGTAGAGCTGGGGCCACTGACCAGCTTGAAAATAAAAGTGAATCCAGAAGTTCTGGAATTGGTGGACTTTATGCTATTGAAAATAATATATGGCTCACACAGAATGTGCTGACCGCAGTGTGAGAAAAAGACAAGGAGCAGACACATGAGTGCTTTGATAATGAGGAAAATACACTGCCATCATGCAAAATGAGCTTTATTTCCAGTCATAAAACAATAGACAGTTTGGCTGTAAAATGCATTGATTACTAATCCTGGATTTCCCAAAGAGTTATGCTTTATACCGACTGGACATATTTTGTGTTATATGCACAGGCATCGAGCAACAGAACTCAATGATAATAAAAGGGTAATTTATTGTTATACGTAAAATAAATTAATTCAAACCAGAATGAACCATAGCAACCTAAAAGATCTTTACATAACATTATCATTGGCGCGGGAAATAAATTGTTATTCATCACATAACAAAAATGAAAAAGTCAGGAAAAATATATGTAAATAATGACGTCAGCTGTAGTTTTGTTCATATCCTCTAACACTTGCCGATCTTACACTTTAAAATATTGTTCTCAATATGTTGCTTAAATGATCGATTCGATGGCAATACGTGTCTAAAAACATTTGCGTGTATATTAGGGGTTGGAATGCAGGACATGTGTTAAATCAACCCATCACTGTGGCTAATGTACAATGCGGCTCTGTTTGTTACTCTGCATAATGCTCTTGTTGTTGTTTATTGTTGTTGAACTGATGACCAGAACATAATCAGAATGACTGTCCCTTGCTCAGTGCCAGTCGTCCCAGTGTCCTGCTGAGGTGACCTGCAGAGAGGCAGTGAATCCTCCACATTCCTCGCCGACACTCGGGAAGTATCAATATTATTAGGTATTTGAACATTACTTTGATATTTCCTATTTGTGCTACTTCACACTTCAAATACGTTAACAAAGGAAAGAGTTTTCTTGGTACCCCACTACCTTTATCTCGCAACCATAGTTGCTGGAAAGTAATATTGCACGTTAAAACTAATTAGGATTATGTAAAGGATTGTTAAAACCAGATAATTCAATTGTGACTTCTTAAAAATGTTGACTCACACACATGTTTTGAATAAGGGCTCTAGGTAGTTCTACAAGATATACGTTTAACTAACAATTAACTAATCCAAATAACCATTTAAGGCCATAAAAGGAAAGAATACTCCATACAGAACTTACTTTTTCTTCTTTCCTTTATTATCTAACAACCAATCTAAAAAACAAAAACACTTTCCTCAAAGGTGATACATTACAAATATTTATTTCCGTTTTTGTATGACTTTATTAGTGCAGTTGTGTCTATAATTATCAGCAGTTGTAGTTGTGGGTGGCGCACAGATACTGTCCACGGGGCTCGTATCCACGCCTTCTCCTTTCCTTATGTCCTCATTCACTCCCCGCGGTCCGACAAGGTAAGACGTCACTCAGTCTTTTTATTAGCTTTTTTTATCGGTGCAGGTAAATTCCCTTTGTGGAAATGTTTAAATCGGGAGTGAGAGCGACATAATGCGTTCTTTTCTCCTTTTTCTGCGACCCGTTTTCTGCATGTCGGAAGTAAAACTGCGCTTTTACTTTTTTTTTTTAAACCAATCGCGTCATTTCTTCTCTCAATAGGACGCGTTTCAAAAAGGGGCGCGTGCGCTGGTGGGAATGACCGCTGTGTAGTGTCGCGCCAAGCTTCACTGACACATCGGGGGGACGGGGGGGGGGGGGCAGTGGGGGGCCAGCGGGGGGGGGGGGGGGGGGGGGGGGGGGGTAACGTGTTCAAATCACTGGTTGTAGAATCACCAGAGTGATTTGCGTTGCTGTGGCTGAGAGGGGAATCCACGCAGCTTCATAAGGACTGTTGGAAAGTAGAAGTTAAGGCCACGTCAAATGGTTTTATTGTGTGTGTAATTAGGTTAATGATTGGCAATATACATGTTGATGAGCGCAGTATTGACAGCTTCTCAGTGTATCAACATATCTTATCATGAAGTAGAGTTAAAGCAACGTCAGTTCTTGTATTCAACATAATTGATTAATTCATGTACCGGGCTGCATTTTGTTAAATGAAAATGAATAATAAAGTGCCTGTGTGTGCGGTCTGTTTCTCCCCAGGATTTTCCATGGCGAACTTCTCTCCCTGTCCACTCTTCCACCTTCTTCTTCTGTTATCTTGTTTCCTGACTGTGTCACATGCGACTCAAGATGACCTTGTAATTGATACCGAGCATGGCAAAGTTCGAGGGAAGTTGCTTTCTGTGCTCGGTGGTAATGTACGAGCATTTCTAGGAATCCCGTACGGGAAACCGCCTTTGGGGAAACTGAGATTTAGTGCTCCACAGCCGGTAGACAGTTGGACAGGAGTGAAAGATGCAACTCAATTCCCAAATTCCTGCTACCAGATTTCCGATACAACCTTTCCAGGTAGGATACACAGGGATGGGCACAATACCTAGATGTACAGTATATATCTTGTGTACACAATATACAGAAACCCACCTCCTGCATCTGCATTAAACATTAGGAAATGCCAAGATTTGAGATCTCAACCTCACAGCAGGGTATTTACATTAAATTGTATTTTTCAAATCTTGAGTTCTCAGTTTGAGCGAAAAGTATGAAATACAGGCACCAAGGTTGACATTCACTACATACATGAATGACTAGTAAATAGATCATTTCATACAATGCATACTTGGCCAACATGCCAAGTTCCAACAACTTTTTCGCCACTTTGTTCGCAGTAAGTGTCCATTCAAGGGGCACTTCCCATCAAGTGGTAGGTGTTCCAGTGGGGACCAGCAGTTATGGAAGACCATGCCTCATACAAACACACACACACACACACACACACGCAAAGTGAGTAATTTAATTATTTATGTCTGTTGTAATAAATCTTGGATGTGAAAGGTAAGAAAACAGTGTGGTGCCATTTTAGCAGTTTAGCAAACACAAATACGCATTGGACAAGCACATAGAATAAGCGCAAACAATTTGACTCAGGCCAAGTTCCCCACCCAAGAGGCGCTGTGGGGCCCGGCCACACGTATCTATTTCGAGACACAGCCACCTGTCGGGTTCTTTTTTCGGATCCTCAACCTTTGCCAGGCAAATTGACAGAAATAATGACCAAATATAGTTATGACAACACAGATGTACATGTTGGACCACTGTTCTCTCTTGGGACAAGACAGTGCTTCTTTAAGACGAAAATTATTTGTTTACTTCTTCTGTAACTGCAACTCATGAACTCCCAGACGAGTTAAGCTAATATTTAATCAAAGTTTATGTAAGTCTCTTATCTCTAGACATCTGAGATCACAGAGATAAGAGTGTATGCAAGTGACTAGATTACAGTCCCAATCAGTTTGTAGTGAGACTGATAAATATTGCCTTCTTCTTTTAAAGGGTTTCAAGGTTCTGAGATGTGGAACCCGAACACCCCTTTAAGTGAAGACTGTCTTTATCTGAATGTCTGGTCACCACGTCTCAACCAAACCCAGCCCAAGTCCTCACCACTGGCTCCTGTTCTAGTCTGGATCTATGGAGGCGGGTTCAGTCAAGGAACATCCTCTCTGGACATTTATAATGGTCGCTTCTTGAGTAAATCTGAAGATGTTGTGGTTGTCTCAATGAATTACAGGTAAGAACCAACGTACTGTAAATAGAAACAAATGGGTGGGCACAGTTGTTGTATATAACTGGAAACTCCCTGCTAATCAGTAACAAGGGGAATATCTGGGAGTGTGGTCCCTCCCTCATACTTGAAACTGGATTTTTGCCTACATCAGTGCCAAAATGGAGCAACGAGCCAAATCCAGGCCAAAGGTTTTGATCATTTGAAAAACAGATGTGAACCTGAAAGGTTTAAGTTTTGGCCTTAAACATGGGAAAATACAACAATGCGCACCAAAAAAGTGTGTAAAAGATTAGTGTTGAACATTCCCTTAAGTATCGTTTTATTCACATTCAGACTTTTGGCCCTGATCTACCGTAGGGTGCGTGCCATCAACTGTGAGAGGCGTGTAATCATGCAAACAAATTCCATGCATGCAAAATTTCATCAGTTTTATTTTAATTTTTAAAGCCATGCATGACCTGTATCCCAGCCAAAAAATAGATATATTCCTTTGTTTGAGAGGCTGGGTTTTAATACTTAATAATACTACGACATTTAGAAAAAAGGCATCAATGTTTGGGAAAATTTTTAGTTTTTACATGACATTTGCATTTGCACTTGCCACTATTTTGGTGCAATAAGCAAAGCAAAGGAGTACATACATGAATAGACCTCACTATGTGCAATACCTTTCCCTTCACTCCTTTAGATGGAATGTGGAATTGACAATGGTAGGTTGATTTGTCTTTGGTTAAACTCTTTCAACATCTTTTCTCATTGTTGTCCTCACCTACACAGAGTCGGAGCTTTTGGTTTCCTCTCTTTTCCTGATGACAAGAACTTCAAGGGCAACGCAGGCCTGCTGGACCAGCGCTTGGCCCTCCACTGGGTGGCCAAAAACATAGCTGCTTTTGGAGGGGATTCTTCAAAGGTAGACATTTTTTTGTATCGTAACATCAGATAATAAAAGTTCTTTACACGGTTTGAACAAACAATAGAACTAGCCGTTGGTTTTTGTTTCCAGGTGACTCTCTTTGGGGAGAGTGCTGGGTCGGCATCTGTGGGCTTCCACCTGCTTTCTCCGGGCAGCCATGGTCTTTTTCAAAGGGCTGTGTTGCAGAGTGGCTCTCCTAATGCACCCTGGGCCACAATCAGCCAGAAAGAGAGCTGGCACAGGTAGGGTTTACTCATCGCCTTCTTAATTATTTCCACTCCTTCCATTACTCATAAGATTAGCAAGGCCGAGGTTATGTACCGTCTCATTGATTGTTTGAAGCCACAACATGCAACCTTTTACATAAAATAACAGTAAAATAAATAGGATACACTTACAGCAGTGCTCTAGGAAGTGTTAACTGGATTATTTCACCACAAGCATTGACACACACACACAAGATTGTCAATACCTTGGTTCTATTTCTCAAATTGTATCTCTGTCTCCCTCACATCCTTCATTATTTCTGTCACCGATTGCTTCTCTACATCAATGCTCAGGTCTACGAAGCTGGCAGCACTACTGGGTTGTCCCCAATCTCCTCCATCTGATATGAAAGATTGTCTGGTGCAGGCTGATCCACTGAAAATCTCATCAGAGCAATATGATGTTGTTGTACAGCCTACAATCATAATCACACCCTTTGTCCCTTATGTTGATGGGGACTTCCTACCAGATAAAGTTGAAGTAGGTGTGTGTGTGTGTGTGTGTGTGTGTGTGTATTAATGTAGACACGAACGAGGTTTTGGTTTGTTTTTATAAATACATTTCAGTATATTTCCAAATATTCTACCTCAGGTAGCTGATGTAAACAATGTCAACAGTAAGAGCTATGATTTCTAGATTCAGCAGTTGAAAAGCTATATTTCGAAGCTGTCACAATTGTAAGCCTATAACACAAGGAAATACATTGACATTAATTTGACCTAATTACTGTAATTTACTGTATTTTTACACAAGCGCAGAACTAACACGCCAACTATTTCCTGGTACCAGCAAAACATCAAAACTAACAAATGCCTATTTACTGCAGTATTATTTGACCTATTAAAATCAAATTATTGCATAATAACCACCATGTATTTTTTTTTGTAGGTGTTGCTTAGTACCGGCACAATTCCAAAGAAAGATGTGCTGTTGGGCTTGAACAAGGACGAAGGAACCTATTTCCTAGTTTATGGAATACCTGGGTTCAACATCACTGGTCAGAGTCTCATCACCAGAAATGAGTTCCTGAGAGGAGTGCCAATTACAATGCCACATGCAAGCAATGTCATGAGGGATGGGGCCGTGTTCCAATACACTGATTGGACAGATGAGAATAACAGAATGTCAAATCGTGACTCTCTGGGTAGTCTGGTTGGAGACCAATATTTTGTTTGTCCCGTGCTAGAGTTCGCTCAGAGGTAAAGAGCAATTCTGTAATTGGTATACCCTCAGCGATTTCTTGCGCATTATCTTCAGTGAATCTTCCGTGCTTTTTGCATATTGATAATTTACGATTTTACCATTCCATTTATTTATCTTTTACCAGGTACTCCCAACATGGTGGTAAAACCTTCCTTTATTTATTTGACCACCGGTCCTCCGTCAATCCTTGGCCAGAGTGGATGGGCGTTTTGCACAGCGATGAGCTGGATTTTGTCTTTGGAATGCCTCTGAATGCATCCCTGGGATACACAAAGAATGAAGTGAACATGACAAAGAAGTTTATGAAACACTGGGCCAACTTTGCCCGCACAGGGTATGCAAAATCTGTCGTTCAAGCTATTCGTGGACCCTCAGGGCACTGTTGAACTGTACTGATTGCCTGTTCTTTCCGTCAGGAACCCAGGCATTGATGGAAATAACTGGCCCGTGTTCCACCCCGAACGGCAGGAGTATGTCACTCTGAACTACAACCAGCACCAACAAAAGAGAATGATGAGAGCTAAAGAGTGTCACCTCTGGAACACATTCATCCCAAAAGTACAGAAAGTCTCAGGTTAGACATCTATCTATCCATCCAACTTCCACCCATCCCCCCAAACACTCAACACGACAGCACAGACACGCCTATAATGACATCAGTAGTAGAAGGCATTGTGTCAATGTAAATATGACTTTTTTTAGATCCATTTAATTGGATTTTACATAAAATGTAAATAGATGTAATATATATATACACACACACACACACACACACACACACACCTTCTTGCATTTATTGAATTCTTTTCTGAAATGTTATTAAATAAAAGTCCTTCTCTCTGCCTACTTTTCCACAGATGATCTGCTGTCTTGTGTGAAAGCAAATGGGATTATACTCCACTGTAACTACACCTTCCTCCTCATTGTATTAGTAATACATTTAACCTTTTAATACAGTGAAGAGACCTGCCTTCTATAGAGATATATTCAAATTTTTAAGATGTGTATTCTTTGAAGTGTGGTTTGGATAAACGAATGCCCCTACTTTTTTGCAACCGTTATTTCAATAACCAGCATTCACAGTAATTGTTTAACTAAGAGATGCTGTTCACATATTGTGGTAAAAGCAACATAACGGACGAAGCTGCACCATTTATTCTGCAGGCATCGGCGCTGCACAATGCCCAACAATCGAATAGTGTTTTAAGTTATGATCATTCTATTTCTCACTATATTCAGCTACCAGTTTTTTTCTGCATGTTTAAGTCTTTCTTTCAAACGTGTTTATATAAACTGCACTCACAGTAAACATTAAAGTGAACTTGTATTGGAAAAATGATTGTAAACATCATCCAGCCAATACATTTTGAAGCTGCACTTGCACTAATGCATTTTTAGAAGAAAAGGCAAAATTGGCATATTGAAACGTGAAATCATCTCAATTGGGCATCAGCACTCATCTCATTTGGGCATCAGCACTTCCATGTATAGAAGACTACTCTATCATAATTACAATTAAAAGTTAAGTTGTTATAACTGTGTTGTTCATTGTTTTAATCAGTCAAATCGATGAACGGATTATTAAATATTTGGATAAATGATGATCAACACTGAGGTCTATCTTGACTGATTTTGAATTTGTTTGATACTCAACCGCGCTTCTTCCTACAGACAAAACACTCCCTCGTTCTCACTTCCTCTTCGTTGTACAATTTATTTTTTGGTATCGAATTTTACATTACTGTTAACTTTATTTTGTATAAAACAACTGCATATGTATTATTTATTTTTTAAATATATTAAATGACTTTATTTCAGCTGAAATACTTTGGCTCCACAATTGTGCATGGTAGAGAAATTAACCACTGTGAGTGAACTTGAATGAGGTTTTAAATGAACTGCTGCCAATGTAACTATATATTTCGGGCATTGGGTACATAGTGTGTGTGTGAGATGAACCCTTAAAGTTGTTCAAGGGAAGGATAGTAACTAGGATTCACACAGACGGCAGTAAAATGTGTAGTAGGTGCATATTATGCAAAGGCAGTGTGTTGAGACGTGACTTCTGGCATTAGCAGTGACATCACCACACCTTTGGAAAATACCAGATAAAGACAATACAAGGGGGGTGGAAGGGAGAGAGGGAAGAACTACAAAGACAAAGCAGTTCTTAGCAAAAGACAATAACGTCTTTGAAGGTTCAGTTCAGAGTTCTTTCAGCTCCCACTGAGTTAGTTCGGTGTGTTAAGACGAGGTTATCTTCTCACGTTTGTGATCACCGGGAAAAATATAAGCTGAAAACTAAAAACCCAAACAAAGGTTTAAAAAAAAAAAAAATTCCATTGCTTCTTAAGTGGGAATGATGCTGTGGGACCGCCAGGCTTCTGGCACGACCCTTGAGAAGAACTATTGTTTCATCCCCGAGTTGTAAACAAGTGCTTTTTCCACGGACAAATAGCTGCTCCACGGAGGGCGAGTTGTTTTGACTCGTGTCACTGCCACAGTTTAGTTCTCAGACATGACACTTTGACAGATATTAGGGGTGAGCTGTGATTAATGTGCGTGACAGTGACAGCTTTATTAGTTAAGAGGGCAAAGCCTCCCACTGTGTGTCATGTGGAATTAACATTACCAACCTCCGGGCAAAGCTGAGGGCAAGCAGATATTTTGGAAAAATTATAATGCGCGTTAGGAGAGATCTTTTGATCCACAAGATAGAACTGTGAGTTGAGTTCTCAAGACAAGTCCTTAAAAAGAAGGTAGCCATTTATATTTGAAGCACTTGCATGAATTTGAATTTTCAGTGTAATGCCACAAGAAGCGCTCACTATTCACAGAAGCTCCGGTTCTCAATTTTATGCATTTCGGAATAATTTATTCTTCTTCAAATATCCATATAATGTATTTAAACCTTGAAAAAAAAGTGTATTGGAGCCTGAAAACTAATATCACATGATTATTCATGTACCCGGGGCTGTGGGCGCCGGTGTAAAGAGGAGGTAGATCGGTCATGTTCGATGCATAATAATTTCATCTGTATTTCCTTCACACGCTGAAAGAATGTTTGAAAAGATTAAATAATTCAACATACATTTCAAGGCTGCAGGTCTAGTTCAATCTCTTCCTTTAAACATCCAAACCTAACATTTAAATGAAACATTTAAACAACATACAAGTTTTACATAAAACATTGAGGAGTGGAGTTTGATTACTTGAATGTTTTCTTTTGCTGAATCAGGGATTCGGCATTGCTAAAACCTCAATCAAGTACCGTTAGCTAAAACGAGTGTCTAAAATGTCCCAAGTCTGCCGATGTTTCCAAGATTTTATTCGTCTCCGTTTCTGGGGCCTTTTCCCGCAGAAACCTAGTGTGGATGTAGCCTTAGTTCACCATCTAGAGGGGAGAAACACTCAGCGTTCCACGAGCGGCCTTATCGACAGCAATTGACTCATCATCTCTTAAACATAAACATTCAACTAGGTTGTTACCTGCTGGAATTGACTAAAATACGCCCCAATATTGATAGTCATTGACCAATTTCTTTGCATGCTCCATAACTCGATGCTAAAATAGTCCTTTGGAAGGGTTTCCTTCTTAATTTTTCCTTTAACTTGTTTTTTCTTCGTTATTTTTGTCTTAAATAATCTACTTTATGTTTGCTATAGATTCAACTCTGACATTGTGAATAGAAACATCATCGTTTTCCAAGCTATTCTGCCAATCTCCTGAATACTTTGGTAAAAAAACTCAGAACACTTTCAAGCCCAGAAAAGAGCAGCCCTCAATTGGTTAATCCCAAAAGAAAAAGCGTTTCAGACGTCCCCCGGAGTTAAACAGAAAACGCTATTTGACACCGTGGACAAGCGAGATGAGGCTGACCTCGGCTGTCAGTTGTTACAGAGACACCCATCATTCAAATGAGACAGGCAATTAGGCGAAGGACGAATCCAGACAGCTAAAGAGAAACAGAGAAAGACAGAGGGAAGTCCAGCGAGAGACGGCCAAGGCGATGGCACAAAGTGTAAGAAAAATTGGGGATGTAGCGGCAGAGGAAAACATGAATACAAAAGGCTAGTAAGAAAGGGAAGGAGAAGGAATATGATTAAATGAGCACACAGTGAGGGGCTTTCAAAATGAGAAGGGATTTGGTGACACTGAACGATACAAGGAGAGGCAGCAGTCTTTCTTCAGGCTCGTGGTGAGTGCAAGCGAGAAATATAACAGCATCTTTCCATTGAAATTGAAAAAGGTCTGGAGAAATATTTTATTTTCCTTTTGAAATCAATTTTATGCATCCTGTATGGTTTCTCACAGGGCATGGGGATAACTAAAGGAATGGAGAAGCAAATAGAAATACAAACGTGTCAGAATGACGTTGTCCAGCCTCTCATTCCTCTCTCATCCGGTGAACGGCATTGTCTTCCCACACTCCTTCACTCAAGGACAGATATTTGCGATTTTCCAAATTCGGTCTTGTTGCTGTGCTTGGCTGCCTCCTCACACAGTACAATGGTCAAATCAGCCTTGTTTTGTAAACTGCACCCCTCCAGTCTGCAGGATGGAGACTCAAGTGTCACTTCTTTAGCTCACAACGATTATTTAGTGTTTAGGCTGTACTATAAAGAACAGAGTGGAACGTAGCTTCCAGGAAGGAATGAGAACTACAATGGAAGGGCCCACATTAAACATCACAATGAAATATTTTTTCAGCCACCAATTCCGAATTTCTTTTCACCCGGTATGCCTGTTTTATGTTAGGATCAAAGGAAGACTTGGCTCCTAATTATTTCTGACACTAGCTTTATTTAATTTATCAGGTGGCTATTAGGATAGTAATAGAATTGATCAGCGCTTATAGATGGTCTCAACCATTAGAGTGCATTTTAAGAGCTTGTCTGTCTATATTTATAAGCCATACTTGGGTGTGGCTTATAATATAAGTGATTAATATCCTATTGTCACTAGAAGGCTTACTAGCATCAAAATCAGTAGCGCACGGTGTGTGAGAGGTACTATATTAAAGTAAAGCTATCTAAAGGGTTTATAGAGTATATCGAATATAAAGCTTTAGAAGAAAAGCTTTTGTGCACTTGAAATAGCCCCATAGTTAAGCTCATCATACTGTAATATCAAGTAGTATAAAGTGCTGATTTGTGGAGAACCAACAAAAAGCTTTGAAGGATGAATCTCACCGATTTGAAGTTGTATTTTGACAGTCATTCATCATAATTGTTGAAATTCCTTCAAATTGGCACCAAGCACAGTTCCGCTGTGTTGAATATAGTACATTTTTGTTGAACTGTACAAAAACAAACATTTGGAAACATTTTGACACAGAATAAAAACATTCAATCTGATTAATAAGATCCAAATTTACATTTGTGTGCTATTCTCATACGATTTATAGACTGATTCTTGGACATTTATCCTCTCAAATTGGAGAGCTCGAAATAACTGAAAGGAGTTAATTTACTTTATAGTACCACGGTCTCCACAGTGTCTTTGTTTTCGAAAGGGAAACAAATATGACTGTGGGAAGATGTTCAATGATGTTCTATGAAAAAGGGCAGGATGGTGGACAATATTTTTAATGCTATGATCCTGTGATTATCCATTTAATATATTAATGTTTTTTCACTTCTACTGTACAGTTGCAGGCTTGGCTAATTTAGAGCCAAAAGTATGTTACACAATCTTGTTGTCCGTTTTGATGGGCTGTATGTGCAGTTTGTGTGACATAAGATGATGTGATTCTGGCATGATAAGAGAAGTAGTCTGCTGTTTGAGGTCATCACATATGAACGACATGAATGACAAGGGGAGTCATGTGATTTAAATGTCCGCTGACATTTGCGCTTGACGGAAATTACGAAACATTGCGGCATATAAAACTAAAATCCCTCAAATGAAAATAGCATTTAAACGTTGTATCTTTAACATGTTTTCCCACATAGTTTTCTCAGTTTGAAGCTGACTGGTGCTCTTATTTTCTGGAAATTCTTTAGAAATGTGCTCTTTATTTGAATTTCGAGCTAAAAAGATCGTGGCCAACCCCGCTCACCCCGGACAAAAACTGTTTGTGCCCCATCCATCTGGCAGGAGGCTGAAGTCCATCAGGACTAAGACCTCCCGCCACACCAACAGTTTCTTCCCATCGGCAGTCGGGCTCATCAACAGAGCCCGGTCCCCCACTGACTGACTATAACATTCCACCAGTCACTCCCCTTCACACTGCACATGTCACTTTAACTGTAAATTATCACTTTGTCGTCACTCGTCACTTTGTTACTTGTTCGCTAGTGCACTTTATGCTTAATATTTAAACTTTTTTAATATTTTAAATTTTTAACTTTAACTTTATTCCCTTGTTTTATACTAACCCATAGCCTTATTCTACTAACCCATTGCATTAGCATTTCATTTTATTACTTGTGCACTCCTGTCTTGTTGTCTATTGTTATACTGTCTGTCATGCACCAACCGCCAAGACAAATTCCTTGTATGTTTGACATATTTTGGCAATAAATGTTTCCTGATTCCTGATTCCTGATGTAATCTCGACTAATGGCATGCCGGCTACGTTTAACCCAAGGACTGTAGTGTTAAACTCACA